CTGAAAATATACTGGTAAAGGTGCATGCAGTCCCTGCTCTCCTGAAACTTAGATTTTAAATGACACATATAAACAAAAATAGTCAACAAATAAGAAAACCATTAATCTCCAACTTATGATGTATTTGAGTTACAACAAACCACACTCAGAACTGTCCTGGGATTTTCTGAAGAGCACATTTTTTTTTTAAAAAAAGATTTTCTTATCTCATTTGTGAAAACAGCTTTACATTTCCTGATTGCATAAACATTGTACACTATTGCTTTAAATGCTGCCCAATATGAAGGTGGGTGTAATTTGAGATAGGGAGTTTAATATTTTAGTTATTCTTTAATGTATACAAACATACATAGAATAGACAATGACAGCTAATCCTTTGAGACTCAACAGTATACATTCATTTAAAAGTCTATTTTTCTCATTGTGGTTGGCTGTTATTAAGTAGATTTGGACTCATGACAACCCATAAATTGTCCACAGGTTTTCAAGACACTGCTACCTTTTGGTGGCAGATCACCAGGCCTGTTTTACAAAGCATTTTGAGGTGGTTTCAAACCAACCTTTTGGTCAGTATGTTAGTACTTTACCATCTGTTCTACCAAGCAACTCAACTAGTATAGTAAGTCACCATTCTAGAAGAAGGCAGGAAATTCAGTTCAAAGCCAACACAAGAAATAAGGAGACATTGAACCAAATTGCTAAGAAGAAATGCTAACTAATTTGTTTTGACAAGTAGGCAAATCCTTTCATTTTATTACTTATTACTAGCTCAAATACAGCATTGACAATGCCACCATTCCTCAATATGCCAGACTACTAAAACTTTAAGCCCAAGTCTCCCTTTTACAATTGTAGGAATGGCAAAAGGGACAATGAATTGACTCACCACTGTGATCCAGGACAAAGTCATCTTGGGCATAACGGAATTTTTCAGGTCCACAAGCGATAAAAACATCGTCATCACCAAAAAAGTCTTGCAGACAAGTAACCTGGAGAGAAAAAAGAAATCGAATTATACCTAGAAACTCAATCAGAAACATCAGAAATTAACAATAACAAGAATTGAATAAAATATAATTGAGACCTTATCTAAAATATTGAGCTGGAAGAAACCTTGTTTCTCTATTTCATTAAACATTCTAGCAATTGGTCTTTATAACATGATGTACCCACATTAAGCAGCATGCTCATCTTTTCTAAGCAGCATTACAGCCAGCACTTAAATGTGATAATGGTCACCAGGGTGGACAGTGTCTGGTGGAGCTCCCC